TCAGGGAATAAGCCCACCAGTATTAGTATTTGTCCAGTCAAAAGACAGAGCAAAAGAACTTTTTCACGAGTTGATTTATGATGGTATCAATGTTGACGTTATACATTCTGACAGGACTCAAGCACAGGTACGTTATTACGCTGACGACTCGTACCCAACCATGATGCACTGCGGTCATGGCTCAGTATATTCAAATATGGAAGAACGGTCGTTTTTGAGGTGATTTAAATATCGCTTAGACTTTTGTTTATCCGCAAAACAAAAGCAGCACGCGTAGAGGATCATGGCTAATGAGAATTCTTTAAGCCGGTTAAGCTCCCGCCACAAGTATTTTGTCGTCTCAAGAACAAGAATTTGCTTGATAATCCAAGATCGTTTTGATATTTTGATCAAACGTTTCTAGTTTGAAGGGGGACTTTATATCATACTGCTAATCATAATCATCATATGATTGATGATGATGATAATTATGACACTCGGAGGAACAAAGGACGGGAACGAGGACGACGGGATAAATCCATGGTATTGATTATAGAATACAACTAGTGTATGTACGAATAAGGCTTCTTCTAAGATAATGAAACGTATTCTAAAAAAACTGCTATGTTTTGTCAATAGCAAGTAAAGACGAAAGTTTTCGTTGGTAGTGAAATTAGTCTTTCTATTTTCAAAATTCTGGGAATGAACACTCTATATATAATACAACTAACAAAAGAAAAAGACCTGCTGATTGATTTTGAGATCATTGTTCTACTCGTCTGTTGTTGKATACGTTTGTGAAATGATGATGATGATAACATGACGGTGATGACTGAGTTTCATTCATATTGTAACGTTGTTTTGTTTACTACAGAGAGATAACATAGTAAAAAGCTTTCGAACTGGAAAGGTAAGACTATAAGAACTATAATCTTGAATATCATATATTATGCTTGTTTCATTTCTCATATCGTGTATTTGTGCTACGGTGTTTATCTCATTGTTTGTTGTAGATATGGGTTCTAATCGCTACTGAGCTAATGGGGCGTGGCATCGATTTCAAAGGCGTTAACTTGGTCATTAACTATGATTTCCCTACATCTGCAGTCGCTTACATCCACAGAATAGGTAAAGATTACCTCCCCCGTCCTTCTCTCAAGAGATCTTTGAGAAAAATCTAAAATATTCTATTTCAGGGGGTTTTATGCTGCTATTTCATGGAGGAACTTAGATTTTGAATTTCTATTACTGGAAAATTCCYTAACAAAATGTTTAGATTTTTGCACTGAATTAAATGCCAGTTTTTAAGAAAACAAACCATRTCTCTGTATAAGTCCCTTTGATGAAGCATGAGCAATCTCTTTGGATAAAAAATATCTTGCGTTTTTTTCTGATAGGAAGAACTGGTCGGGCCGGTAGAGCAGGGAAGGCTATAACATTTTTTACTGAAGCTGATGTTGTCAATTTGAGAAGGTAAAGTCTAGCTTCATAGTAAGTGTAAGCTACAGTGAGAGCACTAGACCTAACTAGTGAATCAAGATATTTAGTATTGCACTAAGGACCTCTTCGCGTGCCCAATATGCACACTGTGTAGTCTATATAAAATTAGGTTTCTGTTAAATATCTTGGCCGGAGAAATTCCTAAATGTTCTCTCTTTTGTGAGAATTTCGCTAAGATTTTAACGTAAAACGTTTGCGTGAATCTGCACGCGTCGTCTACTCAAGAGCATTTCGATAGAACTATTCGAGATGACTGAAACTGCGTCCTTTAAGGGTATCAGTTGTACATGGTCGACCTGTTAAATGCCCGCTTCAGACTTTGAATCACTAAMAGTCAAAACAATCTTTTTCTGCAACCCTTTGACTTCAGCACATGTTCGATTTGACGTTTAAAATTAACCAAATGCTTAAAGCACTGCATGTTTTTGTACGACAGTATTGCTAATGTGATGAAGGCGTCAGGCTGTGATATCCCAGACTGGATGTTGAAAATCAAGAAGCCAAGCAGGTAAAGAAATCTCTTGTAATGTTTGCACATCAAATTTAAACTAAATTGTATGAATCTTGTTATATTTATACAGAAATGCGAAAAAGCAATTACAGAAAGCTCCAATCAAGCGACCCGCCATAAAAACTGTGACTAAATATGATTTAAGTAAAGCAAAGCGAAAAAGGTAACCGCACCTCATTTCCAGTTAACAGTCTCTTCTCGAGGCTTCTTTCTTTTCTCTAGAAAKATTTCATTTGTCAAATATCATATCAAAAACAGCGACCGCCATTTTGAATTTGGAAAAAAGAGCTGACAGAGCGTATTCTGGARACGAGACTATTTACAAACWTTTGTACACGAATCACCTCACCAAATATATAACCAAATGATTCTATTTCATTTCTATATTTCTATTTACAGAAATGTTATCAAAGGATCGAAAGAAAGCAAGACGAAGAAAGAGAAACAATCATGACACTGAAATACTTGTGGCTAGAACACTATAAGCACGACGATTTCTGGCTTTGAATTTATTTTAAGAAAAACTGTTATAAAAAAGAGTACATTAAATAGAGCTTGAGATGCTTGATACTATTGATCACTCTGATAAAAGCGTAAAACCCATTCCWGGCCTGCAACGTTTTCGGGGTTTTGCGCACWATTTTCGATTTGAGTTTGTAACCAGTTACAGTGGTGCCGGATTTCAAGGGAAACAGGGAACTTCAGTGTTTATAACAGTGTTTATTTCCGTCCCATATCATTCATTCCAAAATATTCATAGTCGAGACAAAATTCGAAATCAGAACAAATGCAGTCTCGAGCAGTGTCAACTTGGTGATGACTCGAACCCTGGCTACCGAACACTACAAGACCAGAATCTGCTTCCGGCCAGCCKGAAAGTCTCAGACGGGYCTGRCACTAAACACTTMATTGCTCGGTCCAGTGTCCGTCTGAAAATCAGGCTAACCTCCAGCACTTTTAAGCCGAAAATAAACTGCAGCTATTAGACAAAAATGCATTTTAATAATAAATTGAAAGCTAAATTATAAGCAATGGATTTCAAAATATTCAAATATTTGTACAAAAATTTCCAAAACAAAATTTAAATGTGACAAATCATGTACAATACGCAACATCGGTTGTTTCTACGTTTACAAACAAGTTGACTTATTTCTGGTAGCGGCTTGAATTTACATSTAAAATATCCGCAATAAAATGAACGAAGCTAAAACTGAAATGTTACAAACTACAGGAATAATATAACGTTGACTTTGATTAAAAGCAAAAATATGAACARTAAATTGGCTAACCATACCGGGAGGTTTGGACACGAAACGTCCACAATTTGTCCCCAAAACCATCATTGTATATTCTAGCATGTTCAAAATTTTGCAAATCTTTTAATATATATACACCTACTTGCGAAAACGTTGTCATAGAAAATAGGCATTTGTATTTTAGTAAAAAGGAATAAATTAAAAAGACAAAAGAAGATCACTGAGGCTGAACACTTTCTTTTGTCTTGTTTTAATTTATTCCTTTTTTACTAAATTTAAATGTTCTACTTTCTATGACAACGTTTCTGCAAGTAGGTGTATCCAGGTTAAACCAAACTTTTCGCGTTTATAATTTGTCGTGGTCTTGCGTTTCAGATATTCGTATCCCGATTCGTATACACCCTTTTAATAAGTCCCATGGTATTGTTTTCTCCGCACTTGACGTCAAATTTATTCTTTTGAAACTTTTACAATACAAAAGGAATTCAAAAGAATAAATTTGACGTCAAGTGCGGAGAACGTAATACCTCGGGACTTATTAAAAGGGTGTATATATCCATAATCAAGAACGAGGGGACTAGTGCCCAGACCTCCAGGTATGTCTCTCTTACTGACAGATTGCCTTGCATTTCACGGGTTTAGAGTTTTAAATATTTCACGAACATATAGTGTGTCTACTACTGTACAGTATAACCCTTGTAAATCTTTCTGTGCTTGTTGTTCGGGGAAATAATCTGCCCAAACAACTTTGCATTACAAGGTGTTCAATAACCTCAAGAAGTCGGTTTAAGATGCAAGTAMTCATGCACCATTACCTTGAAYACTCGTCCCTTCCATTTAAAACAAGGTTCTTCATTATTATCCCTTAAATTGAGCAGCAAGGCTATTAAAACCATCAATATCTGTGATCACTCATGCTGCAGCACAAGAAAGCTTGAAAAGCTTTAAAGTTTTCTCAAACACAACTCGACTGAATCGCTGAGGATTATGRTAGGAATTTGAATCGTTTTGTAGCTGGTACTATAAGTTTCTTACCCAGACTAAAACAGCTTTATAAGCAAGTCCAATAACTAAACAAAAATACGAATTGGTTCTAGTTAAACAGACGCCAACAGAGCAGGAGAAATAAMRAATAATCGTTCATCAAGGTGAAGCCACAACAAGCTTCTCTTCAAGAATCTTCAATGGCTCCCTCCTCCTCTTTACAAACTTTTCAATCTCCGTCGATGAGATTTTAGCGCAGGCTCTCAAATCCAGACGCTCTAAGTTCACGCAGCAATTGATGTATTTAAGACACGAATTTGTTAGCTTGCCACASCCCGTTAGTAGTATTTCCTGGACGCTGCGTCGTGAACCAGACGTTAAGGTYTGTATATCATTGTCGTGAATACCAGGGCAATAACTGAGATCAAGCTTACGTAACGAAGGGCAATACTGCATTAATAACTGGAGAGTCTTGCCAGTAACGTCATTCCCCGTAAGGTAGAGAGACGAGAGGGAATGGAGTCTACTTTTACCATCACCAGTTCCCATGCGTCCATCCATTGGCGGGGGAGGCTGGATAACCTCTCGGAGAACAGAATCAGTGATGCCAGTTGACCAGCTCAAGCTAAGAACCCGTATGTATGGACAGTTGACTTGCGCGAGACAACTAACTGTTGCTTCAGTAGTTCCGCTCAAGTACAGTTCTTTTAGTCGAGGAAGACGATTTAATAGCCATTCCAGTTGCTTGCATGTAATATTTGTCCATCCAAGGTTTAACGTGCTTGGCTGTCGGCGTACAATCCCYTGTAGGGTATCCTGAGTTAATTTTTTGTGTGATAAGTCTACRACTGCCCAAAATGTGGTATTCATGCACCAGCGATTCCACGTACGGCACACGCGCATGCACAAAGAAAGCTCCTGCTGACTCAAATATGAAAAGACCTTCAACCATATAGATTGCTTGAGGACGTGTTCTTSMTCGTCTTCTGTTATGACAACCTCAGACGGGGRATCCGCGGGACCTGGTCTAATGACGTATTTTGCTTTTACTTCTACTGGTGGGGGAGGGGGTGGAGGTGTTKCTGGTCGACTTCTAACTTCTGCTTGTGATTCTGCACTTACACCCTCTTGGTCGCTAATTTCATCTGATGATTCACCATCTGTACCCTATGAAAGAACACTTACGTTARGGAATTCTCAAACGCTGTACTCCAACATTGGCGGAATGAGAGTACAAATTACTTAAATCTCTGTTCAAAATCATTATTCATGGTGCATAAAATTCGAACTTACATCACTATGTTCATGACCACCACGAGCACTTTTCGCCTGTAGTAAAAGCAAAGAGACTTTACGAAAACAAATACATAAATACTTGCACATTGTTTACTACAGATGACTTAATACAAAGACTAAGAGAAGTTCAGTAAAGAAAGACTTGACTTTAGTGTTTATAATATATACTTAG